ACGGAGAAAATATATCTGTGTGTATGTGTGGGTGTGTATTTAGATGCATCTGGACGTGTGCATATGTATAAATATAGATATTAATATACACACATCTGACAGCTTTTTAAACGCCTGCGACCCAAATACAAATGAGCTCCGTGACAAGTGAGCGGCTGACAACACGCTTCCCATGCTGCATCGGGGCGCACACAGGAATTTATGACAAGCAGTAACCAGGTTTTTTTCGGACATGTGATCATCTTTTATTCTGTTTTATGTGAAAGTTAAAAGCTAAAGAACGCCATTTGCAGACCTTCAGTGGCTTCTAGCCTGGTTTAGAAATTCATGGCAGGAGATGGGGGCCAGCATGACAGCCGCCAACACCAGGGCTTAAGGTCTGAATTGCCCCCACCCCCACCCCACCCCACTGTGTGCAGGAAGGACGGAGAAGCATCTAGAAGTGGGTTCCAGCTTCCGGGAGGAGCTGAGAGGTGCCAGCTGTGAAGAAACCCAGTGAACCCCACATCAACGCACGTCATTTATTATTAATATAAAGCCACTTCCATCATTGTTTATCATGAATCTTCTGCTTTGACAGATTACCGTCAAAGGAAAACACTTCATACATTTCTAGTTAATACGGCTGTTGGGAGCCTACAGGGGCTTGAACTGACTCTGGGAAGGACACTCGCTAAGATCCCAGGGCATCAGGCTAACACTCCCGCTCGTCAGGCGGGGCCGGCAGGAAAGGCCAAGCGAGAGAAGTCCTCTCAGCCAAGGTCAACAGGAAGCAGGCACTGGTGGCGAGGAGGCCAAGAGCCGGGAGTTCGTCCTTGACTAGAGATGGGGTCTCTGCTCCGGCCCCGAGGCTCAGGGGCAGACCTCACAGGACTGCCAGAGGGACACTCAGATGGAGAGAAAGGTAGGCCATACAAGTGGCCGCTTTGCAGCTGGGGGTGTCTAGGAAGAGCGCCCCATCATCCCCCGGGACCCCGTGAACGGGAGGCGCCCTTTGATCGGCTTGCGGACACAAGCGCGGCCAACGCAGCCCTGAGGAGTTTGCTCTTTGGATCCAGGGCAGACAGGAGGAGATGGCTGGCCCTCGTCCCCACACTGATCCGCTCGCTCCGGTATTTCACCAGTTGTCCTTCACCTTCAGGACCAAGTCCCATGTGGTCGGTGCCACCACGGCCCTGAGTGCTGTGGGTCCTGCTGACCCCCGAGCCGTCCGTCACCACAGCCTCCCCACCCTCCATGGCCCCCCGCCTCTGCGCCTTCGCACGGGCCCTTCCTCCCGCCCTGTCCGCCCTCCCTTCTCCCCACACCTCCTTCCACCTGGATCTGCCGGCTTTCAGGTCGTGGATTCCACGTCCCTCCTTCACAGAGCTCTCCCTGCCGGCCCTCCACCCACCCGAGTGCGTCAGGCACCCTTTCCAGGCTCCCTCAGAGCCCTGAGATTTTCTCATCATACGTCCTCCAAGGTGCCTCTGAGCCGCCTGCCTTTCCGCGTCACCCACCCTGAGCTGACCTTCCCGACGGCCGGGGGCTGTGTGCCCTGCACTCGGGTTTTCACTCAGTGCTAAGAGCATGGAAGACATTAGCCCAAGGAGTGCCGTGTGTTCGCCTGGGGGCTCCGCGTTGCTAGAAACATCAAAAGTTTTCTCTTTTTCCATTTGGCTGTGTAGAAGGAAGGGTTAGAGGAACATGAGAGAGAAGGTTTCCGTCGCAGCGTCCTCCAGATGCAGCGAGTCCCAGCGAACTCTTGCTGGACCTCCGAGGTCAGGTTGGCCCAAAGACCTTCCTTATAAGGTGGCTTTCCCGGGCCCTGAGCCTGGTGCATGACGGCAGCTCTGGCCCGGCTTCAAAGGCAGACGGACTTTATCATAGTTCATTATCTGTTTCTTCCACTTTCATTAAACAGGATTGCCTCGTCATTTTCTCAACTCCATTGTCTGAGCTCTCAGGAAATTTGCATTATAATCGTCTTCATCCTGAGGGGCAGACACCTGACACAGGCGTCCTGTCCGAAGGAGCACACAGCTCCGCATGAGGTGTGTGTTGTCTGTTTAATTCTCAGGAGCACTTAGCAGGTGACCCCTTTGTTTGAATTCCCCCGCCTTGAAGCCTAATTGCTCCATGTGTCTTATTATATTTTGTCTAATCTACGATTGTTTCTCATTATCATTTGGTGGGCTGTGGTGTTATGTCCTCCAGTTTCATTCTCTCTCTGTTATGTATCTCTTGTACAAAATTAATTACATTGTACCTTCAAGCATAATTTTAACACTGTCTCCACTGCAATGTGCCTGTCTTTAATTAATGCTCTTCTAATGCAGATTTTAGAGCCAAATGGTGTAATATTCTGAACATCAAAGAAACAAAGGATCTAATGAAACTAAAATGAATGAGCAAGATAAAGCAGCTGACAATATTCTCATTTGAAGAAGTCAGTCACTTTGGCCTGACATGGGGTGCAGGATGGATTACTGGGGTCTTTCTCTTTATAGAGAATGACAGGGGGCGCTGACCCCAGAGCTCTGGGGTCATTGGCCTGGGCTTTATTCCACTTTTACTGATCGAACATCTCAGGGGGAATTAACCAAACACCACATTCTCCCAGCTCAAGGAAAGGGGGTGGAGTCCACAAAGGCATTTCTTGGACACGTTTTGTAGAGCAGACAAGGCACAGCCTCACCCTCAGCCTCACTGTGTTCCCGCCTCTCAGGCTCTCGTCTGATGCGCTGTCCCTTTGGTGTTCCCACTCCAAAGGGGAAGCGCTCTCTTAGGGCAACTAAAAGCACTTTCACAAAGAAGAAAACCAGACACAGTAGAAGTACACATATTGTGGCTTTATGGGTTTATGAAATGTCCACATAACAGGCGTGCTGTAGAATGTGTGCGAATGTGTGCGTATGTGTGCGTGTGAGTGTGTGTGTATGAGTGTGCGTGTGTGTGAGTACGTGTGTGTAAGTGTGTGTGCGTGTGTGAGTGCATGTGCGTGTGAGTATGAGTGTGCGTGTATGAGTGCGTGTGTGTATGAGTGTGCATGTGTGTGTGTGAGTGTGAGTGTGAATTTGCAGTACTATATGTGCACACTTCTAAAGTAGGCAATTTGTTGGATTGGACATATTTTGTACAGTTCTATTTATAGACTTCAGTTATTCAACAGCCATTTCCTAACAAATGATTAAAAAGCACTTCAGGCTAAAAGGACAATAATTTGGAACAGCAGAGGCTGAGACCCTACTCTCAGGCCACGCAGGTAAATTTGATTGGACTGCGACCACGTGATGTGACACTGAGTGTGTGGGTGTGTGTGTCGGGGTGGCCCGAGCTTTAGTCCTGACCCGACTAGTCGCTTCCAGTGTGAACATAAGGCGGGGTGTGCCGACCCCACTATTTCCTATGCCTGGCTCTCCCAGCTTCCCACGGACGGTCGCCTCTTCCTTACCCTGCCCCTTCCACATCAATGGAGTTGGAACGTGCAAGGTTTAGAGATTGTTACTCTGCCCATAACTAGATAGGTCGCTGTAGTGGGTTGAACGGTGGTTCCCAAAGAGGATACGTCCACACCCTAAGCCCTGGAACCTGTGAACGTGACCTCACGTGGAAAAGGGGTCTTTGAAGGCGTAATCCAGGTAAGGACCCTGAGATGAGGTAAGCCTAGGTCACCTGGGCAGGCCCTCACTCTTATAATGACAAGTGTCCTTATACACAACAGGCAGAGGGAAATTTGGCACACAGAGGAGAGGCCATGTGAAGACAGAGGCAGAGACTGGGTGATGTGGTCATAGGTCAGGGGCTCCTGAGGCCCCCAGCAGCTGGAGGTGGCACGCGAATGTCACGTGACTAATCGGGGACCCTGGGTGTGAGGTCCAGGGGGCTTGCGTCATTGCAATTTTTCTGTAAATCTAAAATTGTTCTAAAAATAAGGACAAAACGCTAAATCGAATTTTGTGCATCAAAGATATACAAATATCAATAATCACATAAAGATATTCATTGTTACTCATAGAAAAATGCAAGACAAAACCACAGTGAGGTATGAGTTCACGCAGAGTAGGATGACCAACGTGAGAAAGCCGCCGCTGACCGTGTGCTGGCAAGGCCCTGGAGAACCTGAACCCTCAGACGTGGCAGATGAGGCTTTAAAGCTGTGCAGAGCAGTCTGGCCGTGCCTCAGAATGTAAAACGGAGCCACCATGTGACCTGGCAGGTTTACTCCTGAGTGAATGCCTGAGAGCATTGAAAACGTGTGTCCACACAGCGCCTGACGGCAGCACGGTTCCCAACAGCCGGAAAGTAGAAGCGACCCCATGCCCGCCGGCTGATGCCAGGATAAACAGGGTCATGTGCACACACAGTGGACGGTCATGCAGTCATAGAAGGAATGAAACTCTGACACCTGCTACAACGTGGGGGAGCCTGGAAAATACTCTGCTGAGTGAGAGAAACCCCATTGTCAGTGGATGTTTTATAAACCGTGTCATAAACGGCACATCCACTTTAAAAAGCAGCCCTCTCTCCTTTCTCCTGAGGCTGCCACAGTGTATCAGGTTAAACTCCCATCTCTCCAAGGGGCCAATGTGGATTGCCACGGACAAAACGAAAGTGTGGCACGCCGGCGTCCTTTCCTGTTTTGGGTAGCACTTGCCCCCCCCCCATACACTGCTTCTTAGTCCTCTAGGAGGGCATGCCTGTGAGTGCTGCCTGTTTTTCCATGTTGGAGGGGAGCAACCTGTCCTAACCGTGTTGTGTAGCAGACGAGCCACGTTGCAGATACTCTGGGGAGGCTCTGGGGGACAGTGGTGCTCCCTGTCCCTGCACCTCTACTTCTGAAAAGGGAGGTTGCCGAGGGAGAGCGTCTGCCCCTAGTAGGGGTGCAGGAGGTGTGAGGGTACAGGTGGAGCTCCTCGTGTGCTGCTCAGATGTCCGGGGAGCCCAGAAGCTGGGTCTTCTGAGGAACACTGCAAGCTTGGGTTCCAGCCAGACATCAAACAGAAAGTGTGACATGAAAGCACTGTCAACAGCCATCTTTTTATTTCCGTGTATCACAGTGCAAAGGTTACCCATTCGCAGTATGAAATGGAAGGGGCCAAGGTGTCCGCTCCTCACCTCGGCCCAGGGCAGTGCAGACAGACTGGGGCTGTCTCAGGGACCCCCAAACACTGTGACTCATCCCGGAAACATATTAATAGGCAATTAAAGGACAGAATATGAATTCACAAAGAACAAATGAATTTGCAATTTGGCTTCCATCACTTGAAAATGAACAGACCCAGAGAAAATCAAGTTCAGCTTACGTTTAGCGCCTGTCTCAGCTTTGCATTCGAATTGGGCTTTACTTTCAGCTAATACTTGTTCTTTCGACAAGGCGTATTTCCTTATAATATACACAGTGTTGATATCACTGAAATTCCAGCAGACGCTGCCTTTATTTTAATGTCTCCATAACGAGCACGTTCACGCAGGTGAATTTCATGGGTGGCTAGTTTTACTGTGTTTAGAACAGCCAGTGATAGAGTCCACAGTCCACAGGAAGAAAATGTTGCTTGAACAAAATCATGTTGCAGTGAGCCCACTGAGTGTGCTTCCATGGGGAGGTCAGGCGGAAGGCTACTGTGCAGACGTCTCCCTGAGTCACAGGGGAAGCATGTTGGGGTCTTAGGTCGATGCCATGAAAATACCTGTGTTTTAAATTTGGACAAGTAAGACTCAAATGAGGGCAAGAAGAAAATGTGCACAGTGCTGATATTTTACTTTTCTTTTTCTTATTTTTTATATAAGCTTTTAAGATCTTTTTGATTGAGGTTGTTGCTAAAATCAGAAGCAGAGTGTCTATGTTATACAAAATGTTAGTATAAAAAAGATGAAGAAAGAGTAGAAGGAACTGAACATACATGCATAAAATGTGCATATTGGTGCTGATTGGATTTCATTTCAAGGAACTCAGCAACATCTAATCGACGGATGAGTTTGATTCTCTGTGTTGGCTGTGAACTGCTTTGAAAAAAATAACAAGACAGGAATATAATGCTGAATATATATTTTGCATAAAAATTCGTATTTCTGGACTCATTAAATTTTAGCACCTTTTCACATTTGTGCTTCAAATCCCATGAAGCATCAGTAGCTACAGGTGAGTCAGGCTGCTTCTCCAGAGAGCCTTCTGGGCTCAGGACCCCTTGTCCCCACCACTCCCTGTGACTCACCCCCGTGATGTCCCCCCGCTGGCCACCATTTCTCCCTGCTCTGACACTGACTCCTTTTTCCCCCGCGAGGATCACAGCATTCTTCCTTCTTTCTCTGCTGGTCCACATGGGCTCTGTGAGGCCAGTTGCCCTCTGTCTGTTGGACAAAGACCAGGCCAGATCCTATGACTCCCAGATAATGAAAGTCCTCCATCCCTTCCAGTCAGAAAAGAGCCCATTTCGGCCATCAAACATCCCCATGCCGAGAATGCTCAAAGCCCTGCACCTCCCTGAAAGATAAAGCGCCCTCGCCCGCCCCCGCCCCACCCCCCGCTCAGGCCCACGCGAGGCAGGTGGTGGAACGTGGACGGGGTGGGCTTCTTGTCCACTGTGCGTCCCACCACCTACCCCTCAGGCCCTTTCACCGCAGCCTCTGACCTCTAGGGTTAGAGGGGGCGGTGGAGTGGGGAGGGCACTCATTCCCAGAGCCCCTCCTAAGCTGGTGTAGGTGCCCCTGGCAGAGAGGCCACGAAAGCCCACCACCACGGCCCCACGTGAGGTGAGGGCGTCCATCTGGCAGGTGGGTTCCACTCTTCCTTCAGCCCCTGACTCGCAGCAGGGCTCACCTGTCCTCACGCCCCAGGTGGCATCGCATAATGGAAAGACAGCCTGGGCTCCAGCTTGCTCTCTCTCTCCCCCTCTCTCTCCCCCTCTCTCTCCCCCTCTCTCTCTCCCTTTCTCTCTCTCCCTCCCTCCCTCTCCCTCCCACAGCAGCTCCACCACGGGAACACTCACCACTGGGCCCCAGCCCTGTCTCAGCACAGCTGTGTCCTGGAACCACATCCGACCTCTTTCCTTCAGCTTGTTCAGGCCTTGTTCCTCAAGCCCCACAGGCTCCAGGGGACAGCTCTGCAGCCCCTCAGTCCCCGGGACGGTCTTCCCAGGTGCTGGCACTTGTGGCCCACCCCAGCCTCCGGCCTCTACTACGCATCTGACAATCGGCTGGAGGTGGCAGGTCACTCTTACCCACTTCCTTGGCAAGTCCTGGCTCGATGGTCTTGCTCTGGCAGACAGTTCTGGAAAGGCCTGAGTAATGGAGGTTGTAGGCTTGGCTTGCCAGATGGTCTGTGTTGCAAGGACTCAGCTCTACTGCAGTGGTGGGAGCACCACCAAATGCACCCGTGGATGTGACTCTGTTCTGGTAAAACTTTATTCACAGAAACAGGTGCCAGCTCCCCGCAGACCGTCCTTTGCCCGCCCTGGTCTGACTCTAAGGCATCTCTGTGGAACGGGGTGGAGCTGGCCTTTGCTGGGCCTCGGGCCCCCGAGCGCTCAGCCCACAGGGAAACACCATGCAGCAGCGCGGCTTAGAAGACGGAACCCAAGTCAGGACAAGCGGGAGGTTTCCAACGCCCTGATTCTTACAGCAAACGCATCGTGAACAAAACTAAATGACGGTTCCTGTAACTAAAATTAATTTCAGAATAACTCAAGCCCTTTTCTGGTGCATTTTAAACCTTTCAGAAATGCTTCTTAATTTCTTCTCCCCTTATTTCCTTTCATCACAAACTGTAGGTAGCAGCACGCCTCCACCAAATCACACACACACACGCACATGCACACACACATGCACACACACACATGCACACATACACGCACACACATGCACACATGCACACACATGCGCGCGCGTGCACACACACACACACTGTCACACCCACTCACACACACCGTTACCCATTCCATCCACCTAGAGCTCAACCTGACTAATATTTTGGTGGGCTGTGTTCTTGTTTTGCTTATGTGTCATTTTTTTAACTTTTCAGAAGAACAAAAAGTGATTTTTTTCACTTGAAAGTATATGATTGAAAAGCTCTATAACCTTCCGTCTGCTACTACATTGTATGCGCTTGGTTCTCTGGCTCCTCCTGACCTTTCCCTTATAAATAATGAAGCCAGGGACTTGTGCG